AAAAAAAAAAAAAAACATTCGCGACGACTCGACCGAGCCGTTCGATCGCGAGAACGCGGCCGGTTGTACGACGCGGGCAGTTCGAAGGGTCGACCTTGAAAGCGGAAAATCGCTCGGAGCATGGACGATCGTTCTCGAAGTAATCGTGGAAATCGTTATTACACGTTAACGCGATGTTCCTCTCTCTCTCTCTTTTTTTTTTATTTCGTACTTTTTTTGTTCTTTTTTCTTTTTACTGAGAATGGTAAAATGGCAGTCTTTGCGATTTTTTGTGATGCGCTTCTTCTTTTTTTTTTTCTTTTCTTTTCTTTTCTTTTCTTTTGCTTTTTCCACCGGGAAAGAGGCGAAAACATCGAGACGACAGCGAAGAGATAGGGAAAGTGTTGTTGTTGCTTTTCGCATCGAGCACCGATCGACCCATCAATTCGTTTTTCACCAACTTCGCGACTTCGCCATTTCGTTTTCTGACTCTGTCTCTCGTCTCTCTCTCTCTCTTTCTTTCGCATCGCTCAATTCTCGATCTCGCCCTCCTCTCTTTACCTCACGTTCCATTCGCTGTTGATCGTTCTTTATTTCCAAGATAGAAACCAAAAGGAAAAAAAAAAAAAATCTCGATGATCTCTCGCGACTGTTCGCCGCCCCTTTCGATCATTTTGTTCGTTTCGTTAGTGGATATATACTTGAAATATACTGTTCTACGATTTGGCATTTCATCGAAATTCATTCGATATTTGTGTGTATACGTAACGACGGAATTTACCAGCATGCTTCGCAAACGTTGGACATTCGATCGAAAGGGCGGGAAATCTCGCAGAGGAAGAAAACGTGAAACGAGGGAAGTGAGCGTGCGCGAGAGAAAAAGAAAAAGAAACGAAACGAAAACGATCGACATTTTTTTAACCAACTGAAACGATGAACGCGCGCAATCACGGAACAAAAGTTTATACTTGGTGTATAATATACTTGAACACTTCCTCACCGTCGACCGTATTTTTCCCCTAACAGCTTGAACACAAAATCGAATTCGTGATCGTTTGCGATCGACTCGATTACGAAACGTTGGCAAATTGGCCTCGCTAATAAGAACGGAATCTCTGCGTGATACTGCTTTCGCTACTACTCGACTTTCTCTCTCTCTCTCTCTCTCTCTTTCTCTCTGTGTGTCGAGTTCGTATTGGTTGTGCGAACGAAGGGACCGATTTCCGTGCACATTGGTGACATTCGTCGCGAGATCGGGAGCGTGAACACGGTTGTACGCGCCATCGGCAGACACATTTTCCGGTCATTGATCGCAACAGTTTCTCCAGTCGGCGATAATAATCAATTTACTTTCGTCGACGTTTGCCCTTTCGATCGGTTGTCAGCGACGAACCGAAGCTAACCTCGCGCGGTGCTTTTCAGCCGACTCGCTTCTCTCGAACGTGCACGAAGGAGTGACTCGGCACAGTCCCGATTGCGGCCTTCGGTCGCGATTACGCACCGAGAAAGCACGCAAAAGATCCGAAAAAAAAAAAACGATCCTACCCCTATGTTTGAATTTCCCTTCGGATCGCGCACTCCGTGAATCGTGCACGATCGACGGCTATCGCTACTTTTAACAGTTCAACAACGAGAGTACAACGCGCGTCCCTTTCGAAATTATGCGAACGCTGGTTACGTGTGTAGGCGCGTGTTCGTGTATACACGGCCGTGCATCGCCAGCAAAGTACAAGTACACAGTGTTACGCTCTGAAAAACGAATTGCATTCCAAATAATGGTCTCTCGCGGTTCGAAATATATACGGTGCGGCATAATTCGAGTAATTTGTCCTCAGTGGAAAAAAAAAAAGAAAACAAAACTGTCTCTCCGCTGGAGAAAGAAAGAAAAAGAAAAAAATAACGCACTCTTGCTTCCGTAGCTACTCGCCGTGTTTACAACGCCTATTACATCGTCTTCAGAAATCTATCTCTCTCTCTCTCTCTTTCTCTCAACGCGAGCGCCATCGCCATTTTCCTTCCGTTCTTCTCTTTCTTTTTTTTTCCCCCCCTCCCGACTATGTCCTCCTCTTCCGCTCGATCGTGGCTTCGTCCGTTTTTCGCGCAATGTTACAATCATTTAAAACGAATATTCCTTATTTATTTGTTTTTATTTTTGTTTGTTTGTTTGTTTAGCGTACCTTCGCCTACGTGTACTCGATATAATAATTACATCGATAATAATTAATTAGTATTATCTGGTACGATTCCCCTGGTTTCGTTGCCGGCCGGCTCCCCCTTCGATCCGCCGTGTTTTGCCGGCGTGTCGAACGCCAAAACTAATCGGAGGGGGGAGGTTAAGGGCTCGACCACGTTTTCTTTCTCACTTTTTTTCTCCCCCCTCTTTTAACTCGCGAAGCCGCCGCGACTTAATTCTTTCTCTCTCTCTCTCTCTCTCTTTCTCTCTTTTCCCTCTTTTCGTTTCGTTTATACCGTTTATTTGTTATGTTTTATTTATTTGTTTATACCGTTTGTATTGAACACTGGAGTCGGTGGTGTGGGGACCGGCAGCGCGACTGAAATATCCTGGCTCCGTCCCCCTTATTAGCACGTAGGTCCCTACGTGGGGTGCGTGTGTACTGTAAAACACCTCCGAAACGGCTGTCTCTCTCTCTCTTTCTCTCTCTTTCTCGTTTTCTTCGCGATTACCTCGTCGGAGACAGGAAACTCGTTGCCATACCAAAACTAACCCTTTCTCTCTGTTTGTTTATCCCACTCTCACAGCCGCCGACGCACGGGTATATGTATATACACATGTATGTATATATATATATATATATATCTTCCTCTGTTCCGCGTCGCGTCGCACCGACATGAAGATGGAAGAAATTACGCGGCACCCGTTAGTCAGCCGAATCCCTTTTTTTGGTCGTTGCGTTTTTTCCCTCGTTTTCATTCGCTCGTCCTTTCTCGTCTCTCATGGTGACAGACGTGGCAATGGATTGGAAGCACCCCTCGTATTGACAAACTATATGGACAGACGGCGGGTTGGCGCGTGCGCGTGCGCATGCGCAGCCGCGTTGCGACTCGGCAGCCAGCGCGCACGCGCACGAGCGCTGTGTCGCTAGCGTTCGCAGCTAGCGCGACTACGACGACGTGTGAAGGAGGCCTACGTCGGGCACCGTAGCAAGCTGCAGCTGTTCCTCGACAATCGTTCCAGCATTGGCCACCACGCTGCCACCGTCTCCTTCACTGCAATCACACAAACACCCTTTAACCTCTCTTGCCTTACGATTTCCCTTCGCAATTTTAAGGGGCAAGCCCCTCGTTACTTTTGTTGTAAACTGTAAACTGTAAACTCAACTTAGGGCATGGGGTGGCATGTGGCTCCCATTGAAAATTTAAATACGCCTCTTTCTCATTATTACAGAACTTTTATCACCGAATCTTTAAACGTTAATAATGACTAAGTTAATAATAGTAGAACGTGTAACCATTGTTGATTAAATTGAATTTGAATTTGTGTGTTTAATACAATGTAACTACGGCCCATCCGTGACTCAGGGTATTCAAGAACGTTATGTGTAATTTTTATCAATCGATAAAAGTTCAGTTTAATGAAATTAAATTTAACCCACTGCGCTCGGAATGATGCCAGCTGGCATCAAGTTTCATTCCGGCAACTCGGGAATTGTTTTAAATGATAACTGTAGAAAGTTACAAGATGTGAAATTTTATAAATTTCCCTCGATAAATTTTAATGCTCTATTTTGACAATTAACACACATTTGCATTAGCTATTTTAATTTTTATCACTCAGGGCAACGCAAGATACTGTAAGATCTTCGTCGTGTTTACTTTATTAGAAAAAAAATTGCTTTTATTGATATTTAGGTTTTCATCGCAATAATTTAGTGTTACAAAAGTTTCAATCATGACGGATCGTGACGGTGAAGAACTTTTCAATGAATTACATGCAGACGCTTTGTCCGATTGTCCGAGTGATTTTGAAATATATTGCAGCGATGTGGAAATTAATGGCAAATTTGCAAAACCATTGCACGTAGGCAATTGCTATACAACAAAAAAAAAAAATTACTGAAATATATTATATGTATAAAATATAATATACGTAAAAGATGTACAAAGTTTCATTTAAATTCATTCTGTATAAATAAAGTATATTGGAGTTTATTTAGATTGTTTCACTTTCGTACTCAATTACGAAATAATAGCCGGTGACACGAGATGGTTTCTGCTTAAAATTGCCAGTCGACAATGTATTAAAAAGTCATGCTAAATTTTTCACGATAAATTGCATTCATCGTGATCGAGTTGGTGGAAGGAAATGCGAAAATAATCCCCCGAGTGCAAAGGATTAAAATCTGATTTGAAATCTCGTAGGTTTACAATTTACTTTTTCTTTTAAATCGAAACCCTAACTTGTACCACGAGCACGACTCGATGTTATCAGTCAAGGGGTTAACAAGCCTCCGTTGCTCGTCTTGCGATCGCGTTTCGATGATCACGCGTCACATTTTGACAATGGTCACTCATTGTTAAAGTATCGGGACGCGAACGACGCGTTTCAAATCCGGAGACTCGATTTACCGAGGGCGAGCCTTCCTCCTCTTCGTGTTTTCCTTGAATCAGACTCTTTAGACTTTTGCACGGTCACCGAAAAATCTCTACCAAGTTAGGTTGGCCAATAAGTCCTAAGCGGTTCTTTTCAGATAGACAATCGGTCGTAGACGTTGTAAAGTGTAAGTAATTTCAGTTCAATCCTGGAGATTGTTCATCCACTTGGCAGAGGACGTTTCAAGCTTATCTTTCCAAAAAATTGCGTGAAAATTCATCAAGTATTGTATTCGTTGCGTGTTAATTAAAAACTGGAGAATCAAAACCACTATTTTCGATATGTTTTGTTGTTTTATTTGTTAAAAAGTGAAATAACGCGGCGCAAATACGTAAAAACGTGCTGTATCGTGAATATACGTGCGGCAAAAATGGTTCGCCAAATTTCGTCCTGGTGATTTCACGCTCAGTAAGACCAGTGGCAATCGACGGCGACAAAATAAAGGCGTCAGTCGATGCAAATCATCCTTACACGACACGGGACGTAGCAGAAATTCTGACCAAGATCAAGATCAAGCGTGGAAAGTTATATAAAAGCACTTGGATACGTGAGTGAACTCGATGTTTGGACGTCACGCCAACTCGAAGAAGTTTATCTGCTTAAACGTATAATTATACGCGATTCGCTTTTGAAACGCGAGGGAAACGAATACATTTTTGAAACGTATGACAACAGGCGATGAAAAATGGATCGTCTGACGTTATTGATTAATGTTGTTTAACCTTTTAAGTTTAACGTCCGATTTTAAGTATTAAAAAGTCCGATATATCGACGCCTATATAGTATCCGAGAAAGCCGAATGTATTATTGCAAATAAATCATAATAAATTACTGCAAAATAACGTAGTCTTTCATTTGACTTGATTAACTTTAAAAATATAGGAACTACAGTAATTTATATGAAAACATGTAAAATTAAACTTCGCCTGGCGATTTAAATCCGTCCATTAGCGAAGGGTCATTTAAATTAAAGGTTAATCAAAAAGTTTTGTGTCATTCGCTTGGAAAAAAGTTGGAGAAGAACGTATTGGTCTCTCAACTCAACAGTCAACAAGGCTGAGAAGGCGTTGATTTCGCGGCGTACGATCGGTTTTTCAAAGTTACCCACCTAGTAGTCAGACGTCAGTCTCGATGCTCATACAGGCTGGATTAATATTGTTATTGTGGCGAGGGTTGCAGTTGGGCTTCTTGGTAATCTCGGGATGAGTGAGCAGTATGCCCTCTTCCAGCTCCATTATCTCCGACGACGATTCCGACATCGAGCTCTTCTTCAAGTGTTGACCTGCGAAACAAACGAGAAACGGAGTTCGCTCGAGTGCCCGCTGGCGCGTTGCTACAGTTTCAGAAACCACTACATCTCCCCAGGGTGGGGAGGGAGGGAGCTCGATAAACTGTGGAAAGTCGAGCTTAAATCGCCCCCGCGTGCGTGCTTCCTGCGGATAATCCTCGCCGATTGTGTCGACTCCTCTTTAATCGTTCGACGTCCTCGCGCGAAGGAAGGCGCGAAAAAACTGACCGATTGGCCGGGGCAGCTCGCGCCTAAGCGGATTAAGGGGCGTAGACACGCGATACCGGTACAGACACTCGCCGGGATTTGTCTGTCGACAACTCGAACGCTTTAGTATTCTCGACGAGAGCGATATCTTTTCTTTCTTACCGTACTTGCTCCGCTATCGAAGATATCTTTTTGCAACCGTAGCGAATCATAAATTACTCGTCCGAGTATCCTCGTCGAATCTACGCGAGTTATTAACCTCTTGCGCTAGAACGACACGTCGACGATTCTTTTTTTTTTTTTTTTTCTTTGTCCCAAAATTGCAACACTTTTTCAGTTTCAAGTATATATTTAAGTATATAACCCCGACAAAATAAATAACAAATTTATCACTAATCAGTAATTTCTGTCCAGATAATTGTCCAAATTGTTGTATACGGTTCGGTCACACGTTACGATCCGAAAGAGAGACCCTTGCCCCCAAAATTCAAACTTTCTTCGCTGTGACAAGATCGACAGTCGAAGGCAAATATATTCGGCGCCATAAAGAATGATGATAAACGTGATAGATGAAACCACAATAGAGACAACAGTGACACAATAGCGATTCGAAAATTCGATCGGTGGATCGTTCGTACCAGGGAGATACGGGCAGCTGGTCACGTGATTGAAGTTCTGCGACTGCATCTCCTCCTGGTCAGTCTCACGGTGATAGAAGTAGTTGAAGTTGGAGACGATGACGGGAACGGGCAGGGCGATCGTCAGTACGCCGGCGATCGCGCACAAAGAGCCCACGATCTTCCCCCAGACACCGACCGGCCTGAAGCAGAGGGAAAGAGCCGGGTTTTATTCAGCGGCCGGCCACTGGCTATCGAACGTTGAGATAGCTTCGTTCCATCGTCTAGAAACTCGGTGCTAGGTGTGGTGTTTCTATCTTGTGTGAGTTTGCCGTGTCGAGTCGAGTGTGGCGCTACTTATGCGGTACTTATGGAGGCTCCTATAGATACACACGGTGCGTCTGCGTGCGGTGCGCTCGCTCGCGATACGACTTCTCATTTTTTTCATTGTTCTTCGCCGCGAGCGAAGAACTTCGCTTAGTTCATTTTATTCTACAACTGTCTTCGAACGCACGAACGGGAAACGCCGTGTATACTTATAGTGTTACTCGCGTGTTCTAATAAGAAGCGGGCTCTCTAGGCTAGACTAGGGGACTAACGTGAAAAAACTCTCTAGAAAGGCTCCTCTCTCTCGCGTGCGCCGATGCACACGAACGTTTCTAAACAAGCGCCGATGCCATTCCGTTGCCTACGATTGCTCGATCGAATCCTCCGGCAGTGGATTACCGCATGCAATTCACTACGATTTCATTCCCTTTCTGCCGAACACCAATCATCGCATCGAGTCAATGACACTCTCCGTGATCGAACGTCGTGCACGCGACGATGTCTCGCGAACGTTCTCGTCGCTCGTCACGTCCTGCCTGCGTAACGATCGTCCCAAGAAACAGGCTGGCTGTGAGTGGCGACGAGCAGTTAACCCTTTCGATACGGCTTCGTTCACCTTTGGCCACTGTGAACTCCGTTGAACGGACAGTTTAATCGCGAACACGCTGCCAGCGTATGGGACAACTGTGGCGGGTATTGGCGAGTTCAACAGCTGGCGCTGATTTAAGACGATGAATGAAGAAAACAAGAAGGCAGGAAATATCTTGTTTTCTCAAATCTTGAGCAAAGCACTATCTTTAATAGAAAATAATATAAATTTAAAAATAATATAGATATATAAGTAAATTTTAAATATAATAAGAATACATAAATTTGTGAAAATATGAACATACCAATCTTCACTGTATCAAGTAGTGTAGATATACATTACGATGAAATTCGACACTAATACAGGATTCAAAATAAAAAGAGACAGAACACTACCGTCAAACAATAAATTGGAAGGGGGAGTACTGTGGCGGCGCGAATATTTAAAAAAGCGAGTTTAACCAGCGACGACGCTAATTTAAAACGATGAATGAAGAAAATAAGAAGGCAGAAAATATTTTGTTTTCTGAAATCTTGAGCAAACACTATCTTTAATAGAAAATAATATAAATTTATAAATATTAATAAAAATAATATAAATAATATAAATTTTAAATATAATAAAAATAATATAAATAATATAAATTTTAAATACAATAAAAATATATAAATTTTAAATGTAACAAAAATATGTAAATTTTAAATATAATAAAAATATATAAATTTTAAATATAACAAAAATATGTAAATTTTAAATATAATAAAAATATATAAATTTTAAATATAATAAAAATATATAAATTTGTGCAAATATGAATATACTAATCTTCGCTATATCAAGAAGAAATTCAACACTAATAGGATTTAAAATAAAAAGAGACAAATTTGCTCTAAACACTACCTTCAAACAATAAATTGGAAGGGTGAGTGGCGGCGCGAGTATTTAAAAAAACGAGTTTAACAGCGACGACGCTAACTTAAAACGAAGAATGAAGAAAATAAGAAGGCAGAAAATATTTTGTTTTCTCAAATCAAAGCAGACGGTCATTATAAAATCTTGTTAAACATTGATACTGATAAATAGTTATTGTTATAAGTTCTTGAACCTCGTAATATATTTATTTAAAGGCGTAAACTCTCTGTACAACTACGACGCGAGCGCCATCTTGACGAATTGGTGGGAAAAAATCAAACTTTAATACGTTTTCTAATAATGACGCTTTATACTAAGGGTGTCCATAAGTAACGTTGTTTTTTCGATACCGTATGAAATTTCATTTCGCTTAAGAGTTAATAAAGCTTCGATCTACAATATAATTTAACAATAAGCACACTGAATGTCAATATAATTAACCTAGAATATAGGTTATGTTATAATTAAGTTAAATTATTGCCACTAGATGGCAGTGTTTATTAAATTTGAAGAAAACAACGTTACTTGCGGCTAGCCGTAGTAAAATTGTTTAATAATATAATTCAGTACGAAATATTTGAAATACGTAGTTGCAGATTTTACGTTAACGACAGCGCTTTTTCGATCACCGCTACCGGTACAAATATAATACCGGATATAATACCGGACTCGATAATAATTTTAACAAAAATTCTCTCACAGCGACACTTTCGTAAAATTTGTCTTATTTAACATTAGGTCGAAAGTCGACAATAAAAATGTCTTTCTTCGTTTAGAATTTATAGAAACCGATACGTTCAATGGTGTGAAAGAAAAACTTTCTACGCCATTTGATGATTTTGTTCTCGTAGATTCTGATATCTGTGCCTAAGTTACGAATCGATGGGAATTCTACATTGGTCGCCGTTGGTTCAACGATGGACGACTATAGTCGTCGCTAGTATCGAAAGGGTTAAGGCACCAATCGAGCGAAGTCGAATCAACGGCAGAGGGCAGAGAAACTCGCGTGTAACTTTCCCGTAGCTTTCACGAAAAGCTGGCACAGAGAGAAAAGGAAAAAAAAAAGGGGAGAAAAAGAAGACGATTTGGCGTTAGATCGTTCAGCGGATCGAAAGTTGTTGGAGACACGTCTTATTTTTCCTTCCTCTGCACTCTGCCGCGCCGATGGAAACTCCTAACGAGATACCAATTAACCGTTTGAATGGCGGAACGATAAAAAGAGCTTTCCTCTCGCTGAATTACCAGCAAGGCCGGATTATAGAACGCAACGGCGCGGTTATTTCCGACTAATCCGTGGCTGCGAAATGACGCATTCTTTGCGGCCGAGTCTAATTGAATAACCGTCCGCTGTATGCGCGGAACAATACCGGCCCGAGATCAAAGGCGGCAAAGAAAAATTCACCGCTCGTCACACGCTCATTCACGCTCGACCGATGAATGCCTCGCGAATGGATTTTAGTGCGAATCCTCTCCTCCCCCGTCGCGCGTTTTCCTTTTCTTTCCGTTCTCTCCCTTTCAAATGAATCTCGTCGAATACACGCGTCGTCGTCGTCGTCGTCGTCGTCGTTGCTGTTTCGTTTCAGAACAGTCGTTCAGAGTTGTTAATCTCGCGATCATCGCGCGAAGAAAAAAACAAAAAAAAAAAAAAATGAAAGAAAAAGCGACACGCGACGAGACGGCTACGAGTGCGATTTCTAGCTTTGGTGAGTCGGATCATTCCTATGCAGGTGTCACTGTACTATGGGCCTTCGTGATCCATGACTGATGGTAGTAGCAGTAACGATAGCTAGGTGAGAGAGAGAGAGAGAGAGAGAGAAAAAAGAAAGTAGAAAGAGGGAAAATTTTCAAGTGGGAGCAAGACCGAAAAGATTCGTCTTTTGGGATTCAATAACGATGGAGGGGAAAAACGCAACAACAGTGAAGAGTGTACAGGGTAACTGGTGTCTTGTAACTGGGTCGGGCTATAACTCGGGTTGATTCTCGAAAGATGGAGAAAAAAATTGGCGTGGGAAGTTTTCCACGAGCTCTGTCACCGTGCGACGCGATCTTTTTTTCTTGCCGAGAGTGCGTCAACGCGGTTGCAAAAAGAAACACAAAGTGCAATTGCACTCAATTTTCTTTCTGCGCGAGTCGATTCCTCGCGCCATTCTGAATAAAAAATGATACCGGAGTAGAGTGGCGAATGACTGTGTATTTTTGATGTTTCAATCATTTTCCTGCGTATCTTTTCGAATGTTGAGTGATTCGTAAAGAATTAAAAATGTTACCAAAAAAAAAAAAAAAAGAATATGGCACGTAGAAAACACTATCTAACACGAACTTATGCAGATATGCAAAACATAGTCTGACGTCTTGGCCAATGTATCGATTCACCCGGTTTAAACCTCTTTGGACTTTTTCTTTGCGAGGTTTCTTAAAAAAAAAAACATCAGAATCTTTAATTATTTCAGTCGATGACATGAAAGGACGAGCTAACTTTTTTGCTACCAATGGACGAGATATCTCGCTTCATAACACTATTTTCTATTGACTACAATTCTATTGACGAGTCGTTTTACTTGAGACGAATTGGCGAGATATCTTACAACACCGCTTCTACAATTCGATTGACGAGTTATTTCGTTCTTGCAAGATATCTCGTAATCGTAGCAATGTTTTTGCCTCTCAATATATAACAATCTGATTTTTCCTTCGACATTTTCCATTCATCAAAAATAAAAGACGAGATAACTTGCCGCAAGAGCGAAACTATGAAGCGATAATTAATTCGTCCAGTAAAATTGCAGAAGCAGCCGGTACTGTCGGCAATGCATTACCGACCCAGTGGCGAGATATCTCGTCCATGGTAGCGAAAGGTTTAAGAGGAATTGTTCAAATGTGAGCGCGGAACGATTAAACAACGCGATGAAAAATGTAAGAGAGACACGGTAAGAAATTGTTCAGCGCCACGTTATTGTGGAGCATTCGAACATTTGTTGCAAGTAAACCAAACAAAAAAAAAAAAAAAAAAAACAAATGTAGTATTCTCGCTTAGCCTCTTGCGCTAGAATGAACGTGTCGGAGGATTTTTCGTTCCAAAATTGTCAATATTCCCTCAGTTTTGAGTATATCTAAGTAAAGTTCCTCAGTTAACTATATTTAAATAAAACAAATAATAAATTTATCACTTCTTAATAATTTCTATCCAGCGACATCGTACCGGCGATCGTTCGAGAAGAAAGCGGTTCGGTCGCTCGTTATGGTCCGCAGTCCGGCGCAACTGGTTGAATTGACACGAGGAGTCGCGACCGTCAAAAGAAATTCTACAGTTCGCAACTGTTGCATTATTGAAACCATACCGATGCAGAAGCATACCCACGACAACAACAGCTCTACAATTTTTCCCCCTCCCACCCACACGTTCGACAGCAAACCGTGTTACCAACCCAGTTGCGAGGGACACACCCTGCACGCGTTTGATCGCGGAGTAACATGCACTTCGCAAACTCGAACTGGAACCGATTTGGAATTTCCTTCGGAAGAGGAAAAGAAGAAGAAGAGGGGAAAGATTTCCGCGAGCGGCGACAACGAAAAATTGTCAAA